CCCCGTTGTACCCTATATATATATATATATATAAAGCTTTAAATAGGATTTTTATACCATTTTATCAAAATTCTTGATGCACTGAAATTTCATAATTTTTGTTACCAATTTCAATATCAATAAAAAATAATACTAGCCTAAGTAAAAATAAGCTTACTGAAGACAAGTAAACAGTCACAAATTAGGCTACAACAGAACAAAGATCATAAAAAACGGCCTACTTGAAAAACTTAAAGCACTGAATAATAAATATATTGTATAAAGAAAATGTGCAAATAGACTGAATAGTCTTCACTGTATAAATTCAATATACATTCATTATTTATTTTACAAAAGTGATTCAGTCAAGGACAGTAAGTTATTTTCTTTCTGATGTTTGATTTACATTATTGACACAAATGGTAACAGCAGCTATATTAGGCTGCATTATAGTTCACCCAAAGATGAAAATTCTGTTGATGTTCTAAACCTGTATGAGATTCCTTCATGCTGTTGAACACAAAATAATATATTTGGAACAATATTGGTAACCAAACAGTTGCTGGGCCCTCACTACTCACTGAAAAAAAAACACTATTGGAGTCAGTTGGGACCAGAAACTGGTTACGATCATTCTTCAAAATATCTTCTTTTATGTTGAGGAGGAAAAGGAAATTCATAGAGGTTTAGAACAATTTGAGGGTAAGTATATGATGACAGTATCTTCATTTTTGGGTGAATATTCTTTTAAGATCTCATCATATAAGGCTAAGGATCTCATATAGCCTAACACATGTTTTATCTTCAACTATTAACATTCATTTAAGACACAAATAACTGTGTTTACGAGGATACTCGCAAAGACGGGCATTTTGACACATAACTATGTGTATTTGACCGTTTAAGCACAAGGAGCGAAAGTTTAGTCAGTAATACGAGCAGGTGCGCGCCGCGCGTATCAGGTAGAAACCGTTTTAACGCACACATTTATCAGAATGAATTCTGCCCCGCAGCGTAATGTCCATGAACAGTATAAACCATTTGTTTTAAAACCTGCTTAAAACGCCTTGAAATGATAAGCTTAGACTACATCATGACGCGCTTCAATCAACGATTGATATATTTCTACCGGATTATCTCCCAACCCGAATATAGTTTGTTCAAACACAAAAACAATATAAATCCAGTTAATAATCAAACTAACCTAAAATCTGTGTGGACGATGACACTGTTTTTATCTGCTCCGTGTGCCCGGTTCACTTGCTGTTCCAGCAACTTCCACTCCATCATCAGCTTTAGTAAAATAACCTGATAGCTGGGGAATTTACTAAGTCATGTTTTTTATGTTGTTCGTTATTTGAGCCCCTCTCTCTTTTAGAATTGCTGACATTTTTACTTATTGAATGTTGTTCTTTGCGCGACCATTTCCAGATTACTCCAGAACAAAGTGAAGAGAGGTGAATGCAGACATACTGGGCAGCAATCACCTGATAGATACGTGCGCATATTGTTCAAAAGTCAAATAGAGAATAAATGCGTTTGATTGGTAAACGAAATTCAGACTTTACGTTTCAATCTCAAGTGGTAATGCATGGAATTTACGGAAAAGCTCAACTAAATAACAACGCTAATAAGTGGGGGGCGTGGTGGCTTTGGCGATCGGCGCTCCAGTCAATCTACTCCACAGCCAATCACGGGCCCCCTCCTTGCTCGGGCCCCGGGGCTTCAGCCCCGCCTAGCCCAATGGTTAAAACGGCCCTGGCGGGATGTATTTTGTGTATTGCAAAAAAGTTCCCACAGGTACGTTTTCGTCATGAGATCAGGTTGAAAAAGACTGTCACTAAAGAGGAGAAAATTTGAAAACTAAATTGCATTCTAATTTCCATATGGTTACAATGAATCAGGGCGGTTTGATTATAATTTTTTTTAAATTTTGAATGATTGGAGGAACATGTTCTACTAATCTTGATGTAACTACATGATACGAAGGCTTACCTCCTTTTCAAACATCCCTTTGATTATCAACATCTCTTCATGTAATCTGGAGCAATGATCAAAAATTTCCATTGTGTTTACAGCAGAACAAGCTAATCTAAGCTACACTAATATTACGTTTTTTTTTTTTAACAAATGAATGAGAACATCACTAAAAGGAGATTTTGTCAGATTTGTGTCAGTAAATTCATAAATGTTCACAGATTTGTCCATAAAATGTGGTTGGGGCAAACACACACACACACACACACGTTTGTTTTTGTGAATTGTTGGGACATTCCATTGGCGTAATGGTTTTTATACTGTACAAACTGTATGTGCTATTGCCCTACACCAACCCTACACCTAACCCTACCCCTTACAGGAAACTTCCTGTCCTTAACTTTCTCAAAAAAGCTCATTCTGTATGATTTATAAGCGTTTTGAAAAATGGGGACATGGGGTAATGTCCTTATAAGTCACCTTCTCCTTGTAATACCTATGTCATACCCATGTCATTATACAAATGTGTGTCCTCATATGTCACAAAAACACGCGCACACACACACACACACACAAACACAAGCACAATGTAAAATATACATACATTTCTTTTCTTTTTGTTTTACTGATAAAACAAGCATTGTTGTAAAGTATTCATCTAATTATATCATATTTCTAGGGGGTTCAAGTTACATATTAAGTTTTCTTTGTCTTTTTACATAAAGTTTTCTTTGTCTTGTATTAGATATCAGATGATGAGGAGCGGATGTCTGTTGGCAGTCGGGGCAGTTTGAGGGTTAGTATACTTGTGATGTCCTCTGGATGATAAAGTAAAAAAAAAAAAAACATTGTATAATTTATGCCAGGTTCTAGCGTTTACCACTCAAAATAAAGGGTGGTAGTTAAGTGGTTATTAATTTGAAGGTTCCAGGTTCAAATAATGGAAAGGAAAATTCCTGCATTTGTTGTAATTTTCTATAATTTAATAAACATAATTAGTCTCAGTATAAGAGCGCTTTTCACTTCGTTTTAATCTTCTAACAGTTAAATAAAAATACTTAAATGACTAACGTTTCTGGCATCAACCATGCACAGAAAATTATGGTGGTTATGTAGTAAAAGAACTTGTGTGGGCTTACTTTTTTTCTTACATTTTTCATTACAGTTTTTCTCAATTGATTTGACACATTTCTCCAAACTCAGGTCACTGTTCTCAAAACAGTTAACACAGTGATCTGAATACTTTGTAATTTGAACGTTTTCATTAATTTTTACAAATTACAAATCATGCAAATAATTTTCTCAAAACAATGTGCACAAAACTCTGAAATTTTTTTCACAATAGTTAATACAACCAACCAGTACCACATTTAAAATAGCTGAAAAAAGGGTGTAGACTGTGATTGTTGATAGTACAGATTCTTAGTCCTCCTGGGACAACTTCTGTTACTTACTGTAAATGTCCAAACATTTTTCAGAATTTAAGTTTGAGATCATTCAGGTGGACAACCAAGAAGATTTTAAATGGAATAGCAGCATTGTTGACATAGTGGTCCAGAACAACATCACCAGCCTCAAAGGAAGAGTGGAGATGTTGAGACAGGAGCTTGTCAAACATGGATTCAAACTTCTTACATTTTTTTCCTGCTATGATGCAAGCGCAGCAAATATGTAGTCTAGATAAAATGCAATGAAATTCTCTTCCAGATGTAAATGAAAGGCAAGATCAGTAATTCAGGATGATTCATGTATACAGCAAACACACACGTGTGTATATACAGTGGTGGTCAAAATTATTAGAACACTAGTTTTTGTTTACATAATATATGTTTGCACACATACAGTATATATTTTGAAAATATCTACATGTATTTATTTATATTGATATAATTTATATTATATTTAAGTATATTTATTATACTGTATAAACAATATATACATGCATGTGTTTGTATTTATATATACATAATAAATATACACAGTACACACACATACATTATGTGAACAAAAACTTTTGGTCCCACTTTATAATTAAGTGGCCCTAGTACCTGTGTACTTACATAGTAACTAGATGTGTACGTAGTATGTAACCACAGTGTAAGTACACATTGGTACATAGTATCTAGAGCTGTAATATTTCTGTAAATACACACATGTAACAACCCTCCGAATGGTTTGTGTAAGTACAAATGTGTAACAGGACATATATAACTACATTTTGTAACAACAATATGTATAAGAGTAATTGGAACAATTTGATCCAGGGGGTGGAGATGGGTAGGTTTAGGGCTGTCCCTCTCACAATCCCCAACAATTCATCTTTATTCCTTTCTTTAGAATTAGTTATCTTCTTCATTGTTTTATCTTATAACCCTTTCTTCCTTTTGACTGCTCCTCCTTCCCCAGTCATTTCACAGGAACTTTCAAACAAACGTCAGTAAACCACAACAGTAGGGTTCTGGACGTAAAGAGATGATTTATTTTACTTGAAGAATGTGGAGTATTGAAATGCAATGTTATGAGCATATATATTTCTTCCTCCTCTCTCTGTTTGTTTTTAGCCCTCTGCGCTTTTTAGTGAACCCCCTCGTTCAAGAAGTCACAGGGTTTGTTTCCATTTTGTCATCTGCATGCAAATTTACATGCAGATCATTTGGTCACTCTGTTTCATTTTGGTGAATACATGGCACATATATGAATGAACATAAAGATATAGTTCATCCAAAAATGGAAATTCTGTTGTCATTGAAACCCATACGACCTTCTTTTTTTGTGTGGAAGACAAAAGGAGAGATCTAGTAGAATGTTCAAGCTTTTCTTTTCTATACAATGAAAGTGAATGAACAACACAGTCACTTTCCCCATTCATTCCCTTTTGAAAAATAAGTGCGCTTCACTATAATGAATGTGCTCTTGTAGTGTACTTCAAATATTAATAGTAGGCCTATATAAAAAAGTAATTACAGATTAATTTCATGACTGTTTCACACTTAAAAGATGCACTCTGTAACATGAAAACTGACATTACAATTTTTTTTCTTTATTTTACATCATGCTTTAATAATCTTTTTTCATACCTTAAAATACACTTATTATGATGTGTTTACTAACATATTAAAGGATGTGTAAAGTACCTGATTATAATTTAAACTGCAGTATGATATTCAATGTTACATTTAAAGTTAAAATATTTTAAATGTACTAACTGCTTATAATTCATTACAATGCAATTAACAAGAAAACATTTTCACAATGACTTCCATTCTAGAAAAGAGCTGCTTGGACATTCTGCTAGATATCTCTGTCTCTAGCTTTATGTTTGCGAAACCTTTAGAGCAAAATGCTACCAGAATTTTAATTTTTGGTTAAACTCTCTTATTTAGGGGCATGTGTTGTCTGTGTTCAATCCCTCATGCAACCTGCATGCAGTTTAGTAACCTGATACACAGAACTTCTTTGGTTACACGTGTTGACAAGTCTCTGGCTTCCAAAGCCTCTTACTCAAGACATCTAACGCAGCAATCAATTCTTTATTTAGTCATTCCATAAGTGCTCAGAGTACATCAGAGTGCATTAAGGTTGATGGCTAATGTGTTAACATTCTGTAAACACGCAAAGAAGCTTTCTTTGCGCTCCTCTGTATGTAATGAGCATTTCCTGTCCTGGTTGTTAGCAGCCCTGTTAGATCTCATTTCATGGTGGTGAAGCATTTTGGATCAATAAAGCTGTCATTTAAAGGTCTTTATCGTCTTTTTAAAGTGTTTGTTGTGTTTTCCGTGGTTATGTTTGAGAGATATCGTGTGTAAGAGGTGAATGTAGTATGGTGAGGTGTTCTGTTCTGTCTGCAGGGGTCACTGCATGAAGAGAGTTCATACTCTGCGTGCATTAAGTTCGATGGCTAATGTGTTAACGTTCTGTAAACATGCAAAGAAGCTTTCTTTGCACTCCTCTGTATGTAATGAACATTTCCTGTCCTTGATGTGTTTAAAGTACATCTCCCCTGATTGTTAGCAGCCCTGTTAGATCTCATTTCATGGTGGTGAAGCATTTTGGATCAATAAAGCTGTCATTTAAAGGTCTTTATCGTCTTTTTAAAGTGTTTGTTGTGTTTTCCGTGGTTATGTTTGAGAGATATCGTGTGTAAGAGGTGAATGTAGTATGGTGAGGTGTTCTGTTCTGTCTGCAGGGGTCACTGCATGAAGAGAGTTCATACTCTGCCACTAGGCGTTTCAGTGGCTCCAGCGCTAGAGGCGTAAGGCCCGAACTTTACCTGTCTCTTTGACCGTGGCATGACCTGATACCCAATGCTACTCTGGGCTTGTTGAGCGTCTTGCATGGTTCTGTTTTCAGACCACAGGCTTGACTAGGTGTTGTTTGTGTCTTTGTTTATGTCTTGAAGTTTCTCTGAGGAAAGTTTGGGAGCTGTTTTTCCCCTAGTAATGAGAGTGGGACGGGTGGTGTTTGTACTGTATGTAAAGCATGGTTAATCATCTTGGATTGAATTTCTTTCTGTCTTTTGTGTGGTCAAAGTGTGGTTGTTTACTAGTCATACAGACTGACTCTCCTTCGCACAGAAACCCGCTAACGCTGTGTGTATGTCAATGTGTGTTTTGACCTACAGAATGGGCTTGGTTTTACACTACTGTTCAAAAGTATTTTGAAAGAAACTAATGCTGTTTTCAGCAAGGATGGATTTAATTGATCAAAAGTGACAGTAAAGACATTTATTGTTTCCAAAAAAAAAAAAATTCTTTTGAACCTTCTGTTCATTATCAAAATCCTGAAAAAAAAAAAGAATCACAATGTTACTTGAGCACCAAATCAGCATGTTACAACCATTTCTGAAGGACCATGCTGCTGAAAATTCAACTGGGCCATCACAGGGATAAATTACATTTTACAATATTTCTGTTTGTACTGTATTTTTTGATCAAGCCTCGGTGAGCATAAGAAACTTTATTCAAAATCATTCAAAATCTTACTAACTCCAAACTTTTGAATGGTAGTGTATATGAGACTGTGTACTTTCTGAAACTTCGTTATACTTGTCAGTTCCTATATATTTTCCCTTATGCTCTCTTCCTGCTAACATCTACTCCTCATCCCATTTTTCTCTATACCTGCATTCTGGTCAGCCTTCAGACTACAATGGCTTTCTGGGCACCAGTTCCAGGGCCTCCTCTAGGGCGAGTTCAGCCCGTGCCAGTCCAGTGGTGAGCTTCCCTTTTCTATCTCTGATCAAGCTTTAGTTCTGCAGTTTCAAGGTCACATCTGCCATCCTTGTAACATATAGAGATCTATGGCAAAAACTGACCTGCTCTCTCGCTCCTCTGCATATCCTGTTCCTCTCACTAAAATCTTCAGTATCATGTGGAATTAGCATGCACCTTGTTTGTGCCATGCTCCCTCTAGTGGATAAAGCATGGAATATATCTCTAAATGGCCCAGTATTGTTTTAGATCCTGAGCATTTCTCATTTAATTTAGACATATAAGAAATATGGATGGTTTTTCAATGTAGCATCTACTGAACACATTTAATTTTTTCACACAGGTGGAGGAAAGGTCAGATTTCCTGGAAAAGGTGGAGTAGGATCATTTTTAGGATTTTGAATAGATTCACAAACATCACGGTAGATAATACCACAACAAAGTGATCCACCAGATCAAGTAAATATTTTAACTACATCCTCAGGGGTCCAGGACAGCCTCCACCCTCTCTGCTGCAACTCTGGCATCTCTGGGTGGAGGTTTATCACGAAGAGGAAGCTGTGATACCTCGATTTCAGCGGACACTGAGGCCTCCATACGGGAAATGAAGGTAATTTTGAAAGTGTATTTATAATGCTGAATTAAAATGACCATGGTCTGTATGTAATTTCCTCATTTTTGTTTGTCTGCTCTCAGGACTCCCTGGTGGAGGTGGAGGAGAAATACCGTAAGGCAATGGTGTCCAATGCTCAGCTGGACAATGAGAAGACAAACCTGATGTATCAGGTGGACACACTGAGAGACACTCTAATGGAGCTTGAGGAACTTCTGTGTGAGAAACACAGAGAGTGTGAGGAGAAAACCAGAGTAAGGGCTGTCAAGTGGTGAAATCACTTTTTTTAAAGAAAAAATCCTCTAGAATAATTGACCCTTTTACAAATGCATAATTGTTTTATTTTTGTTCAATACAAAATATGAAACGGATATAGTCATAACCAAGTATATATTGAGCATATCTAAATATATATTTTTTATTTATTATTAAAAAAACATTAAATCAAACTTTTGACAAAAATGGTGAGTCAAAATTCCATATGAAGTGTAAAGGGATCATTTTGACCCCAGAATTAGAATAGTGAAACAAAAATTATGTTGTTATCTTTTTCAGAACCTATGACCAGGAAATGTATTATTAACGCTGCGGAAGCTCACATACAAGTTTTGACATGCAAGAATAATAAATAGATAAAAGACCCCAAAATTCACACTCTTATCGGGTCAGTTTGACCCCCTTTGTGCATTCAAGCGTTAAGACTAATCATAACTAAACTACGTGGCAATGTTTTCTGTTATATTACGAAAACAAATAGCATTTCATAAACAGTTAGGGTGGTTTCAATACTAAATTGGTTAGCAGAGGAGGGCATACAAAGATATCAACAATCAATATACACATAGAAGTAATGTGAGCATCAGACAATGATAAGTAGATTGTTAATATACAAGAAATAAACTGAAATGCACACAGTCATAAAGATGATCATTGTGAAGTCAGAGTATGCAGTGGTCCTTTAATTCTGAGAAATTATAGAATGACTACTGTTCAAATAACTGTGATAGTGACTACTAATAATCAGGAATTCAAATTTTAGTGCATACTTCATCAATTATGTGTGTGTTTTTTATTTAAATTTTTTTATTTTAATGTATGTTAGGACTTCGAGCGAGAGCATCATGCCCACAATGTCTTGAAGTTCCAGTTTGAGGAGATGAAGGAAACCCTGAAGCAGAGTGAAGAGTTGCTGACGGTGAGCATCACCAGTAAATGATGGAATAGTCAAATTCTTCCTGGCATAGATGAATTATGTGTTATTCTGTTCTCTTCTCTCACATTTTCCTCTTAATATTCTTTGACCTATCCCTGTTTTCCTCTGCTTACCCTCATGGCCGGGGCTCAGGAAGCCCAACAGTCTCGGGGAAAGCAGACGGACTATATTAGAGAGATCGCTGACCTGCAAGAAACATTGGAATGGAAAGATAAAAAGATCCGGGTAAAATAACCTTCCATGGCCATTTTCCATTAATCATGTCACATTAAAACTATTCTTTCTTTTGTATTTTAACACTTTTTATCCTAAATCTTTTTACTCCCCCTTAATACTTATTAACTTATTAACCTATTAACTTAATGCTTAACAACTGAATGCTTGATACTGTCATATGACCCTTGTAGTCTTTCCAAACCTTATAGATTGTTAATATACAAGAAATAAACTGAAATGCACACAGTCATAAAGATGATCATTGTGAAGTCAGAGTATGCAGTGATCCTTTAATTCTGAGAAATCATATAATGACTACTGTTCAAATAACTGATAGTGACTACTAATAATCAGGAATTCAAATTTTAATGCATACTTCATCAATTATGTGTGTGTTTTTTATTTTAATTTTTTTATTTTAATGTATGTTAGGACTTCGAGCGAGAGCATCATGCCCACAATGTCTTGAAGTTCCAGTTTGAGGAGATGAAGGAAACCCTGAAGCAGAGTGAAGAGTTGCTGACGGTGAGCATCACCAGTAAATGATGGAATAGTCAAATTCTTCCTGGCATAGATGAATTATGTGTTATTCTGTTCTCTTCTCTCACATTTTCCTCTTAATATTCTTTGACCTATCCCTGTTTTCCTCTGCTTACCCTCATGGCCGGGGCTCAGGAAGCCCAACAGTCTCGGGGAAAGCAGACGGACTATATTAGAGAGATCGCTGACCTGCAAGAAACATTGGAATGGAAAGATAAAAAGATCCGGGTACAATAACCTTCCATGGCCATTTTCCATTAATCATGTCACATTAAAACTATTCTTTCTTTTGTATTTTAACACTTTTTATCCTAAATCTTTTTACTCCCCCTTAATACTTATTAACTTATTAACCTATTAACTTAATGCTTAACAACTGAATGCTTGATACTGTCATATGACCCTTGTAGTCTTTCCAAACCTTATGTGTTTCCTTTACTCCTCTGTTCTTCCTTTCCTTGATTGTTCACTTTTGCGGACGGCTGCATTAAGGCCTTAGAGAGGCAGAAGGAATATTCAGACATTATCCATGATGAACGGGAGGCACTCAGGAACGAGGTTTGCCGGCTTAGGGATGCTCTAAAGGTAGAGATATAGAAGGAATACTGACAATCACAGCCAAGAAATAGCAGTCATTATATTAGCATTATTATTTTGACTTTAAAGGACCATAATAAAGTAATGAAATAAATGGGAGATTGAGATCAGATTGTATTCTTTCACAGAAACATGGCATTATTCTGGGATCTGAGGTGACAGCCAATGGGGAGTTAGCAGATGGGGCGATTGATGGGCATGCTGATGCGGAAACAGCCTCCCGATTGAATCAAGACTCTCACACGCCCACTATGAGTGGAGACAGCATGTTAGGTAAGACAAATGGTTACCAGATTTTTTAAAAACACATAATTAAGCATTTTAAACAAATCAGCTATTGTAGCTTATTTGTACAGTATCCAACTTAACTGTAGTCAAATTATATGCATTTTTACAATTTTGCTTTTATGGTATTTTGTTGCTGCACCTTTGCAATGTTTTATTTAAATATAGAAACCATTATGCTGCAAGAAAAGCAAAAACTAAATGAAAACCTTTAGTGAAAACCTAAAGTAAATGAGACAAAATTAAGCAAAAATGAAAACATTTGTGTTAAATTAAATAAAGATCAAATAACTAAATAAAAAAACATAAATAATAAAACTAAATGATAATGCATTTTCTCCAAAACTAAGTAAAATGAAATGTCCACAAATTAATGTTGGAGTCAGCTTTCAATATATTATAAAACATGAATCCAGCTGCATTAAACATGAAAATGCCACTAGATAGCAATAACACTAGACTCTGCTGAAAAAAATAATGATATTAAACATCTTTAAATTATACCACTTAACATAAATATTTAAAAAATATTACAAATTTGTTAACATTAACAAAAATATTAAACTAAGATAAAATGAATAAAAAACTCAAAGACTCTGAAAAAACACCCCTAAAACTAACAATGCTAATGAAAATGTAAAAATTTTTAAACTAAATAAAAATGCAAAACTGTAATACTGATCTAACCTTAAATGAAAACATTTTTTCCCCAGTGCCCTTGTAAATATTAAACTGCCTGTTTGTTTGATTAAATGTTGCTTGCTTTGCTCCATTCTCAATATATCCAGAAATTTACATTTTTAGTTGTCAGCAACACCAAAATCAATCTTTATTTTTCCACATCTGAGGTGATCTCTGCTGGAATTCTCTCTTCACTGATCAGCCTTTAATTCAATCAAGATCAACTCTGCCATTTGCTTAACAAAATCAATTGAATTATTCTCAGTGTCTTTTTGTTTTGATGGAATCGTAATTGTGATTCACTCTTTGAATCCAATCAAGAGGTGTTTTCCATCTGGCATTTCATCTCAATCTTAGTAATGTTGCAGGCAGAGCTTCATAAATGCACATCATCTCAAGCACAGAGTCAGAGATTACTCAAAACGATGGTGAGACTGCACAGTTGGTGGAGGGAAATCTTTTTGGTGTTTTTTCTTTGTTATGAGGAAATATTGTAAATGAGGAAATATTTACTGTATACATCCCCCAAAAATAAGTTAAAAGAGAGAGGACTACAATTTCTGAGGCATAGAAACTGGACTCTTTGCTATCTGAAGTGGTCTACTGTTAAAACCAAACAAAACAGGTCAGAAGATGAAAGATACATTGATTCAAGTGCAGAAACTTTACCTAATGTGCCGCTATATTTATTTAAACCTTAAAATCAGATAATATCTGAAATTACAGTATATGAACCACAGAACGGTGAAGCTGAGAAAAATAACTGCATAGAAATCAATGCTGGCATTAAAACCTCTAAAGATCTATGTTTGAACCCACAGAGTCTAATGAAGTGGATATTTTTAATACCACAGGAGACAATGATGCACAATCCAGGAACCAGCAAGAGACAGAGGCTGAGCCAGAGTTACAGTTTGTGGAGGACACATATAGCATGCCAGTAGAGCACAAGGGCACAGCGTTCTTTCTCGATAGTTGTGAGGAAGCTTTTGCATTGGATGCTGATCTTTTAGTGCTGGATTATGTAAATAGGCATATCAGTGAACCAATAAAAGAAATAACGAGTGGACTGAGTATAGAAAATAAAACACAGAAGTTCTTCAAGACCAAGCTTAAGATGAAGAGGATCTTTAGCTGCTTTGTGTCATAATTTTTCAGAGAATCATTTTAATTCGCTGATGTTTATGACAATATTATTTAGATTTTTTTTTTCTCAATAATTTGATCTTTTGATGTAATGTTGCAAATGTACTTTAAATCCTCCATGCAAATGAGACCGATCAAGACTTGTTTTGGACATGCAAAGGCTGTTCAAATTCTTTCAATATTCTGAAATAAAAAAGCTTGATTTAAAAAAAGAATTCTCATGGAGGACATATATACAGTGTTATATGCAGAAAATGCATATACAATTAAATGCATTGTGCTTTGGAAGAAAAGTGTACTTTTTTCATGTTTACCAATGCTGTAATTGTCATCATACTTGTAACACCAGAAATAAAAAGCAAATACCAAAAATGTTTTGTTCGAACACACATACAAATGTAATAATAATCGTGATAATGATGATGATATTAACAATAATAATAATAACAGACCCATATACACATTTTCTATTTATACACAATGATATATTAATGATAAATACAATATTATTGATATGTAGGCATTTTTAATTGATTACGTGATATGCTGATCATTAAATTAATTAAATAATACAGCTTTAAAAAGACATTATAAACATGGCTTTAGAAATTAATACATTGTTTATTTCCTTATTTCTTATGACCACAGCAATCTATTTTGCAATCCAGTCATGCATTAGACAGATATTTATAGTCATGTTAACTGCATTTTTTTGTAATTCATTGTAATAAATAAAAAATTTTAATTGACTGACCAATTTGTATACTTTGTGCTGCAATTTTTTGTTTGTTTGTTTTTTAGTGCCTACATCATCTCGTTGTATGTTACATTGCCCTCATGCCCGAGGCTCATGTGCTGTATTTTTTTTTTTATTTGCAATTTTCAGAGATCAGATTGAGGAAGCTGGTGGAAGAGAGAGAGAGTTTGCTCGACCAGGTGAGTTTTGTCATTTCATACTTTTCAAGTGATTCATTGTTATGCGTATGATTAATATTGTAGGAGAACATTTTGTGAAATACCTGTAATGCCTGTCATAAGGACTTTGTTAGGATGACTAATCTGTGTGTGAATGTGCAGGTGCGGAAGTATAAAGCCATTGCAGAGCAGAAACAAAAGAATGGGACAGAAGAAACAGGAAACACAGATGAAGATGACCTACAGAATGGTCTGGACCATCATATTCTAGATCTGCAGAGTAAGATACGCCTTTAAATTTTATTCACCATCAGTCTTGATTAAGGCTGGTTTGTAATGTAGAGTTTTCATGTGAACTCTCAAATTTTTTCAACTTATATATTTCTACAGGAGATGCTAACAGGCAGATCAGTGACCTTAAATTCAAGCTAGTCAAGTCTGAGCAAGAAGTCACAGCACTTGAACAAAATGTAAGCCAATTATATAATTAACACTTTCTATCCAAAGGCACAAAGTGTACTCTTGCATGCAATTTCATCATCAGTAGTTCATAATGTTCTCTTTTTATGTTTAATCCTCCTTTATGCACTGTTAATTTTGTTCCTCTTGTGGTACAAACAGTTCCACAGGAAATGATCTGACATTATTTCATGCATAATCTGTAATCTCTGTCATGTGGCAGATCATTCGGCTGGAGGGTCAGGTGAGCCGCTATAAGACATCTGCTGAGGCTGCAGAGAAAGTGGAAGATGAGCTAAAAGTGGAGAAACGCAAGTTGCAGAGAGAGGTACACTAAATTATTAAAAAAGAAACCCACTAATATTCCAAACAATTTAGCAGCAACTGCAACTTTCTTACACTTAAAAATATTGAGTACATTTTATAGCTGTGAAATCAATCAAATATGCCTTATGAATTGAATAAATGTAAGTAAAAAATTTAAATAGATCTGAATAACTACATTTGCTGCCATGACGAATTAAACTGAGTAGACTCAACAAGTTAAAAGAATAGTTCACACAAAAATGAAAATTTGCTGAAAATTTACTCACCCTCAGGTAGGGCTGCACAATAAATCGAAATTAAATCACAATCGCGAAAAGCTGCGATAGTCATGCGCATCTTGTCAGTGAAGCACGGTTCTGTGATCAGTAGTAAATCTCCATCCGAAGGCCAGAGGGCGCTCTCGCTAGGGGTGGAACGTTGTGTTATTTATAGCAAACCACATTACAGATGCGTTGTCAGATTTAAGTTGAACCGCGGTCCTAGCGCGTGCCGAACCGTGTGTGGAGAACCGTACGGTTAAATTTTTTTCCACGAACCGTTCCACCTGATTAATAAACACATAACATACATAACGCTTTATACAATACAGATTGTGTCAAAAACAGCTTTACAATATGAAACAGGAAAATAGTGTGTCGATAATGCAAGAGGACAAAACATGCTATTTTCCAGTTAAAGTCAGTTCATCATTGATTCAGTGATGTTATCGTCCAGGGCTGCGTTTCCCAAAAGCATCATAAACTTAAGTACATCGTAGACCCATTGAAACCAATGGAGCTACGATCAACTTAGGCTTACGATGCTTTTGGGAAATGCAGCCCAGCTTAGATCAGTTCAAATAGTATCTGACACTTAAGTGATATTTAGAGATTTTATTAAGGTAGTGTAATTATTTTTATGAAATTTACAGTCACTGATTTTTTAGAGTGTGATGTAACAAGTGCTATGTTTATTCTTTAGCTGAGGTCTGCACTTGATCGTATCGATGAGCTGGAAGCAAGCAACAGCCACCTTACGAAGAGACTAGAGAAGATGAAGGCCAATCGGAGTGCCCTTCTGGCACAGCAGTGACGCCCACCTGTGCCCACTCATCACCCACTGGCACCAATGATCTGCCACCCATATTACACTAAAACTTCTATCAAAATCATACCAAATTAGCCCAATCATGCTAATTCAGACTTAAAAAAGTAAATATGGCTGACAACCTCCATTTGTTTGCTAGTGGGATTCCAAGCGGAAGACATATCAAAAACGAATTCTTACTGAGGCTCATTAAAGTGACCTTTGGTTAGGATTAGCAGAATTCAGGCCCTCAAGGAGCTCTCAAAAAGTTTTTGACTGGTTACGGATCTCTGTGTCAACAGACCATCTCAGCAAAGGCCGAGCACAGCTATTGCAGCATGTTCCTTTATGGTAGCATGTTGGTTTAGTAAACCAGTCGTGAGGGACATGATTTATCTAAGCAGACCATGCACTTTATCCCTGCATCAGTATTCAAATTTTGTAACACGGAAACTGTAACATATCTGTACACAGAACCGTTTTGCAAAATTAGGTAATTGAATTTGTGTAGTCGTTGTGTGTGTAGATATTAAGTAAAGATCATGTTCCATGGAGATATTTTGTAAATTTCCTACCGTAAATATATCAAAACGTAATTTTTGATTAGTAATATGCATTGCTAAGAACTTCATTTGGACAACTTTAAAGGCGATTTTCTCAATATTTTGATTTTTTTTGCACCCTCAGATTTCAGATTTTCAAATAGTTGTATCTCGGCCAAATATTGTCCTATCATAACAAACCATACATCAATGGAAAGCTTATTTACTCAGCTTTCCGATGATGTATAAATCTCAATTTCCAAAAACTGACACTTGAGACTGGTTTTGTGGTCCAGGGTCACATATGATTGAATGTATGCTCACATACAGAGACAGTTGTGTGTTTTCTTGCAATTTTTGTGCAGATGGGGAGTGTTGTTTACACTATCAACAACTTATTGACTTATTGCTATAAATGTCCATTTTGTTTCACGCCAAATCTGTGTGTGTGTGAGCGTGTTAGTTTGCGCATTGGTCCATACCTAGATAAGGTGTCTTCACAATGTTAGTAATTTTTGTTTTTATGCTAATGTTGTCAACATCCTGAAGAACTAGATTAGGACTACAAAAAATGATGTAATCAATTATTATAACTTTATGGAGTATATTTGGGTATAATTCAGGCTTTGAAGGATTTGAATCATTGTCCTGTTACAAATGTTCTCAGCGCTCACTGCACTTAGTTTTCTTTGTTGCTTTATGAAAGCACTTAATATTTTTTCTCACATATCCAGTGGGCCAAATGATGAAAATACTTTTGTTTTATTTAATATGCAGGTTTAAGACCACCTACTTACTTTCCGTGTATAAAAACCTACAGACGTCTTGGTCATTGTAATATGGTTAGTAGCATTAGACAGTAAGCACAGCTGATCATCAATACTGTTTCATGTCCAGTTTAAACTCAGATCATGGTGCAACTATATCATCTGAGGGCTAAATGGACATTTGAGATGTCACCAGCCTTTAAGGATACAATCTGTAATCTGAGTCTTGCTTTTGAAAACATGCTGAGTCAACACAATAAATGGGAGTGCAGCTCTTTCTTTTTTTAAAGCTGGTCATTGTAGCACTTTCACTAATGGTCTGCCATTTAACTCCATTTAAGTGTAACAATAATCTCAATGCATTTGGGGTTTATAGAAATGAACATGGCTTTTTTTAAATAGAGAAGAAGAAAAAAAAGAATTGTTTTGCAATAATGCTTTTACATGTAAATTGACCATTGCATTTACACAAAAATGTTCAGATGTATGTACATCATTATGAAAACAGCTATAATAATGATTGTCTTGATGCTGTATCTGCTGGGTAATCGGTTCTGGCAAGAAGATGATTCTTTTTTGCTGATTGTGAATTTCACTTGTATCCCTCCCCTGGGTTCTGCTACCATTGGAGACAATGCGCCACCTGGTTTACACAGTCAGTGAACATGAACATGCTGTCTCTAAAGAACTGATATGCTGACCCTTTGAAATAACAGACATTGGCACACCAATTACATTGTTTACCTGTATTACAGCTCTTCTGTATGACATGACATAGCAAGAAATAAACTCATGCAATAGCACTGACTTCATTCTTTTGTTGCATAATTGAAATGTGTTATTAATATCTTAAGAGCAAGCAAACAAGATTCGAAGACGGAGTGTCTATTTACACTAAGCGCAAATAGCCCGCCTTGGTGGCAGAGGCTATTTACACTAGCTCCACCCACAAACGTGTGATATAGGACTAGTCAACACTATAAAAGACGGCTGTCAATTATTAGTTCCAGTGGCGTAGATGGTAAAGTGCGTAACGTAGTCTTTTTTTTTTTTTTTTTTTACATGAAGGAAATAATCAAAAAAAAAGTTGAAAATAAAGTAGTTTAGGGAGGGCTTTATTGTCCCAATAAGGTGGCATCCATTTAATAATTTGAATTAAAACTATAATTTACACTCAATACGTTATTATTGCATACTGTTTTATAATGTACTATAACACTGAGGTGCAGATAATTGCCACTATTTTCAATAAGTAGTATAAATAGCAGAAAATCCTGCTATTTTCACATAGTGTAAATATAATCTATAGCTATTTGCACTTAGTGTAAATAGCATATTGTTAAAAATACTGCTATTTTCACTTAGTGTAAACAGAATCCATCGCTATTTGCACTTAGCATCCATCACTATTTGCTCTTATAGTGTAAATAGCATCTATCGCTAAGAAAATATTCTATTTTCACTTAGTGTAAATAGCCGCTGCCATTTGAAAAATGGACCATGCTCCCTTTTAACATTAAATAACATAAATTTGAACAGCAGAGGGCAGCAGTGATTTTCATCTTCTAAATCAGTTCCGCATTCTGGTGATATTATCTATGTTAAAGGCACTGTAAATCTCAATCTCAATCATATTGTTGGCATCCTCTGGGGAATTTATTATCTTTTTTTTTTTTTTTTCCCTTTATAGCCAATACACATTCAGTGTCGTTTTTCCTTAAACTAATATAATTATTCATTTGTATTATCTATCCTAAATAAATCTGTTCATGTGATGCTATGCAAAAACAAAAAGAGGAAGAGAGCAATAAGGAAGTACAAAAAGGAAATTAAAAGCCCAAATGGGAGTCTTTTAGATATGCTGGCCCTCACACACAGACAGCTGAACACTGGCCCCTGGAGATTTTACTTCTTTTGTATATAGCCAGCATAGCTCTAACTGACAGAAAATTGCACAGCAGGCCTGTCCTTTGATAAAGAAATAATCGAAAATATATTAATAGAAACAGCAATTGAATACAGCAGGAATTAATGTCAGATGAGTACTGTTGAATGTTGAGTGGCACATTCATACAACTATGATAACTATGATAGGAGGACTATGCAGGATGATGTTTTACACACACACACACACACACACACACACACACACACACACACACACACACACACACAAACCCTACACCTAACCCTATGTAAAAGTATTTATGGGTTAAAGACAAAAGGGTTTTCAAGCCTCAAAACAATGAAAGTTTAATACAGCTTTAAATAATTTTTTTAGAATGTGTCCTGTTTAATTTTTTTTCTAAACATTTTTACCATGTTTTACAGAAGACATCCACTAAAAAGTAATTCAGTGTAACAGTAGTTCAAATACCAAAAAATCTTATCAGAACAAGAAGACATTAAGACTTATTTATTAAGGATTACAGTGCAGCCCCCAAACATTGATTACTTGTAATTTTTAATTTATACCAATATTTGACACTATCCTTCATACCGTTAGGTTTTACCTATTTGTCAGCAAGAAGTGTCTAATCATTTAAAATATAATACAATTTAGCATGATTACTTTTTTCTTTTATATATTTTAATAGTTACAGTACAGGTCAGAATAAGCATGTTATTTAATTTTTACATGAATATATCCGTTGCAATGAACGATTTGGATGTTTTATTTCAAGAGATTTTTTTCATTGCATACAGGTTCTCTTATTCATAAACAACATATACTTTTGCATTGTTTATTTTTGCTATTCTTCCTCATTGCATATTTAAAAAAAATACTTTTTGTCTTATACTTTACTGTATATCCTTGTTATTTTGTCACAATCAGTAACAGAGAGAACCCAAATGCAGGTGAAGAGTATAGGCTCATTAGAAAAAGCTAACTCAGCAAAAAAAACAACAACAACAAAATAATCAAAACAATCAATCCTTAGCCAAGCAACAGTCATAGGCAGGAAAAATCTGGGAGGCAAAACCACAAAGGTGCAGGCTGCTGCCGAAGTGAGGACAGGCAGGGGTCAAAACCACTTGGATAAGAGGGAAGTTGGCCTGGCCACTGGAAGACCTCAAAGTGGTACAAGTTGCAAGCTGAAGTCTTCAGGGAACAAGCAGGTGTACAAGCCTGGAGGGCCAAAGGTAGGTTGGAAGGGAGATCCGGTAGGCAAATCCAACAGATGACCCAAGACAAACAGGGTCACAACGATTTAACTGAGGCCTTGTTTGAATCAACAGCAATTGGCCTTTGTACATCTCTATTATTACATTTGACGTAAGCACCAGCAGCATTTCATTCATGCTATCTGTAGATCTGATGAGTCAGAAAGAGAAAATGTGCACACAAACGCCCCAGTCATGAACAATTGTATTTCAATGTTTAAGAACCCTCCCATGTTTGCAAGCAGACAGTTAAGTATATTTCATTGGCATGTCTTTAAACATTCTTTGGGACTGTGATAACTGCGTGCTAGAGATACAGACGTCATTAAACTAGAACTCATGATTGTGTAGTAAACAATCAATGTTTAACACAACACAATTTCTTTATGTTTATGCCAGTCTTTCTTTCCACAATTTATTGTATTTTCCCACAAATACATATTTTCAGACTTAGTCTTAAACCAGATTTTCCAGTTAAGTCACAACATGTCTTTTAGTTTACCGTTGACACATACCAAGGAACTTGTCTGTTTGGCATCCTGTTAAGAGTAATACAATCACAATTCATCTGCTCAGTAGTTTATAATCATCTATCTGAATGTTTGAGCAAATATTCTGATACTGAGGAAACAGAATCACACCTACATTTGAACAAAGCTTCTCTGCTCATGCATGGTTGAAAATGGTTATTGTAAGGGTTTGGAGATTAGTATTAGAGTGAGTATTAATATTAAATGTTAATATAAGATAATATTAATATTAGATTGATAGGATAAGCAAATAAAGCGTCAACAAAAAAACTTTTTTAAAACTTTTAATCCTGCTGCTAAATTCCTAAATAAACAAGACTACGGAGGAATGGAATTAAATTTGTGCATTTTAAAAGTAAACCAAACATCTGACAGCACATTCATAAATCATGAATAGCAACATCATGTAAAATGTTGTATGCCTTTGAGTACTTTCAAAAATAAAAAAAGACAGTTTTTTTCTTATTTCTCATTGAATATACTCTTTTGTTTCTTGAAGTTACATTCAGTTTTTTTGTAGGTTATTTTTATAAAAAATAAAAAATATTTTTAAAAAATAACCA